GCACACACCACGCACACACCGCACACACCACGCACACAGCAAACACAATTATCTATCACTCTTGTATTCGCGATTATCTAGATACTACCAGACTCACCGCCACCAAAATATGTACGTACGAGACGAATTAACTTGTCGGAGCTGGCATTGCTCGCCGCCTTCTTTATTGGTTTAATTAGTTAGCAAACGTATACTGAAAAATGTGTCTCTTTTTTAATAAACATTTGTTTTCGTCGATTATGTAAACTTAATAACACCGATTTGTCTTCGGGAGCGAACATTTCTGTGGCGCGTATGACCGCTCATTGTGCGTGCAGCGTACACCTGCCACGCGGCCTGGCAGGACTCCGGCCGCGGCTACCTCGTCGCCTCGCCCCTCGCGCGCGCCTCCTCTCACCCGCGCACGCTCTGCTTCGTGTACCCGCTGCCCCAGCGCAACGGTGAGTGCCCGCCCCACGCCCCGCCCCGTCACACGCCCCGCCCCGCCCCGCACCCGCTGACACGTGCCCTGTGCCCGCAGAGTCCCGCGGCGGCGCGCTGGCGCTCAGCGCGGTGACGCGCACCTGCGACCGGCGCGTGCAGCCCGGCCGCACCGGCGACAAGGCCTACAACCTCACCGCGAACGGTAACCTCCCGCACACTGCCCTCCCCGCGCCACTCCACGACCCTCCTCGCCCCCGTCTCACTCCGCGATGTGTCCGCAGGCACGTGCGAGCAGAGCAGCAAGTACAACAGCGCGGCGCAGCGGCCGGCGCCCTCCGCCGCCCTCGCGCTGCTGCTGGCGGCCGCCGCGCTGCTGGCGCCGCCCCGCGCGCGCCGGTGATACCCGCGCCGCCACCCCCCGCCCCCTCGCCCCCCTCGCCGCACCCCTTCCTTCCGGCACCACCGGGTGGGGGGAGGGGTCGCGACTCCTACCTTTTAGTAGTAATTTTATTTTTACTCTTTTTCCCTCAGTTAATCCAGTGACTGGTGTATTTATTGCAAAGCATTTTATAAATAAACTTTTAAAATGTGACGTCGGCAGCTTTGTCGGCAGGTTTCGTGGAATTTTACATATGGTATTGTTTTAATATTTATTGCTTAATGTGAATTTTAGTAATGTACTTATGCGTTGCGGAGGTCGGCCGCGCCTCAGCTGCCACATATCTGACTCGAGAACTAAACAATGTCTAAATGAAACGAAGCAAAGTGATCATATTGTAAATATAAAGAGACCGATTCAAATGCTATTATTTCAGATTGTTGTCATGTTATTTGTAATTATTGTATTCAATATATATTTGTAAGGGCCGAGTGGTGCGCACGCGACGCCGGGTCTCTAAAGCTATATAGATAGAACTAAATGTAGGAAAAATTATCGAGCTGAGCATTTTTATTTTTCAATACGTCCATTTTTATTTAAACGTATAAATATGTAATAGCAGCATCGGGCGGCCGGGGTCGCGATACTAACTCAAAACGCTGACCTTCTTATAATATTGACCAAGAGTAATATTAAAGTGTAATTGCTCATGCAGAGGGAAATAGGTTGGATTTTGACTTGTGATAGTGAGTGTAGTCTGTAAGGAGGCTGTGCACGCGAGCTCCTCGTATGCGGCGCAGTGCGTACTTTGCACACTGCGCACTTTACACATTGCGCACCTTGTACACTGAGCACTTTGCATACTGCACACTGCGCACCTTGCTCACTGAGCACTTTGCGCACTGCGCACCCTGCCGTGGCTCGGCCGGTTTCTTTGCAGACATAGTTTGTAAGTGTTTATGAATTGAGATGTCGACGCTTGCCTACGATCAACCTGTTATGTAAAACAAAGTTTAAAAACGTAGCCCAAAAAGACTATTGTAAATATATCTAGCTAATAATTTATATACGATCATATTTTATAAGTGTAACGCATTTTTAATAAAGAAAATACAGGACAGAAGTATTAATTTAAATAAAAATCTGAAGATAATAAATAGCGATAGATAAATTCAATGAAGAATATATAAAATACACACACAATGTTTGAATTATTTTGCAACAACCGCAAGTGGTTGCGAGAGCGGAGCGCCGTGTGCTCCACACTGCCGCCATAGTGTCGCCGCAGTGGCGCCACACTGCCGCCACACTGCCGCCACACTGCCGCCGCACGCTACACGCTACCGTCAGTCGGCAGTGTGCGCTCGGGCAGGGTGCAGGTCGGGCCTCACTCTTTCCGGAATGCATTCATATAGCGTTTAAGGATTTTAAGAAAGTTTTCAATAATTTCGCTTGTTTGTGTTGGAGGATCGATCGATGGCGCCATGAGATACGATTGGTAACTATTAATATGTAAGCCTATTATTATATTTTGATTACTGAAATATATTTGAAAATCAAGTTTTGTTTCATTTAGCGCCGCAGATGCTTTGCGAACCCGAGAGCGGTGTTCGTGTGCGTTTTGTCCCCAAACCTGATGATGATGACTGTAGCATACGCTTTCGTATCGAACGAGTTGATCATTGGCATCAGTAACAAGTGATGCTTAATTTAATAAAAAAAAACGGACGACTGATTGAATATCTGGAATCTGAAACTCAATGACATCAAATAAATGGACAGGCTATAACCCGTGGTATGTTGTGTCTAATTGTCACCATTTTGGTTACTCGATACCTGCGTTGATTAAAAGTAGGCAACGCAAAAACGTCCTAAAAAGCGCACAATACAACTACGGCAAGAACCAAAGGTGGACATTAACTCGTTATTAAATTATTCAAACTTTCGTGAGACATTGTACTAAACTGATATATAACAAACACGGCTAAACACTCAAGTATATTCGTCCGGTGGCGGCACCAGACGAATATACGTGAACGTTTAGCCGTGTTTATATATCAATTAACTCGTTAACCATAATTAACGAAGTTAAAATTTTCGTTAACGGATTAACTTTTAAGTTAACTTCAAAGACTGTTAACGCTTTTGTTAACTTCCGTTTAGGTAGCTAATCGTTAACATTACACACTTGGTGAATCAAGTGTGCACTTCACTATCACGTGGTACTTAAAATACAATTAAACTTGTGCCTGTTGGCGATGAAAATGTTTAGTTAAAAAAAATGGTTCATTTGAAAGAGCGGTCGAAAAGGATCTTTTTGTTATTGCATACATAAAAACGAACATGGAAAAATAAATTTGAAAATACGGAAGACGAAACATATGCTGCATTCAATGAACAACCCTCAAAACAATGATGCAAATTTACTACTGACGTTTGAATGTTGAATCATGTGGTTAAAAATAGTTTACGACAAATAATTGTATTATACATTTTTTTAAAGAAACAAACGACTGATTACGCCGCCGTACTGAGTGTGCAGTAGCCATTCGATAGATTTATGGGCAACGCTTCTAATGGTCGGGGATGCGTGCGCCCGTTAAATGTGTATTTAATTCGTCTTTTCTGTTGTTTTACCTATTTCTCTTTACCCAAAAATAGTGTGAGTTTCATATGGTTAACTGTTAAGGATTAACTTTTACTTAACATACATACATACATTAACGAAGTTAACTTTTCGATTAACTGTGCCCACCTGTGGCAAGAACTTTATAGTTTGTTGGCGTTAGTGAGCTGTCGTCATTGAGTTTTATTTATCAGCACCGTGTTGTCTGTATATTTATGATATCGAACCGTAAACGATGGTTTAAAGTCTAGGTAAGGCTTCAGAAACCACGTGCCATATCACTTTTTGGATCAAATTCTCTGATAAGAAAAAGGAAGGATTTTATATAAAATCATAGTTTGTTCAGTTAAGTTATTATTTAAAATATTTGTTATAAATGCACGTAATCGATGATAATATGTCACTTTTGAATGATTAAATAATAGAAATATAAACGGATACGTGCTTCAATAAGCTGGCATATTAGTGATATAAATAAAACGTTAGGTGAAGTGAGATCAAACTCGTTTTTCATTAACTCCGTTAAGTCGGGATGTTATTCAGATTCCAATGACACTTAACTCGTTAACATCGTTTCAGTGATTAGTGATACATACAGGCGGTAACAAATGATTTCACATATGTACATATCAAACATACATACGGGCAATAAACATTATTACCTTTTTGTAAATGCGGTAAAAAAACTAACATTTTTAGGTTTTATTTAATCATCTTTTTAATATCAACCAATAATTTTCTTAAGCAGTTACAGTACAGTTCACAGGATACAGCATGGATTATAGTACGATTTACAGAATTCACTTGTCTAATTGGTCTTGCGAACAAATTTATTTTAATAAAGCTTTTTTACAAAAGTTGATAATGAAGCTCTCCTCGTCCAACATAACATACGTTATTAATACATTGTATGCTATTGCACACTCCGACCTCGGTGCGCCAGATGCTCGGCACAAATCTGATGGAGCATCATTGACTTGCTGCAACTGGCAACTAGCAACGACTAACACGACGACTTGAAACATGGTGATGGTGGTGCGGGAACATATCACTGTGTCACGTCTGTACACAACCATACAGAGTATAAACGAGACTTAAATTAATTGAATTAAATGGTTTTTAACGAACTAGGCATTGATAACAATATTTAACTACAAAGTGAATTAATAATGCAAAGAAATTAAAGGAAAGGTATTACTGCATGCAAGCGTTTCAGATAACAATGTGCGTTCTAATCCTCTCAAAAACACATGGAAAAATTTCTACAGCACGTAAATAAAACATAATTCATAAATATCTGATTTACTGAAGAATCGAGGAAATTCTGACAGTTATGACGTCACAATATGGCACTGGTTTATGCCTGCGCACGCGCCCGAGCCCCTCTACGTCCCGTTAGTCCCATGACACATTCCTCTTTTTACGTTTGCTTAAACATATTTTCATCGAAGCTTGTTACGCAGCGTTGCGTGCGAAACTAAGCACGAGGCGCTGCCAAACCCCCATAGAGTTTGGATATAACTCTACGAGGTTAACTTTGTCGGGAGACTTGAGAAGGGGGACGGCGAATGTCCACATCTGAACACCACTGTATTTAAAAATCAATAAATTCGACTTACTGAGTCCACGTATAACTTGTAACTCTATGCTCTATCCCGCCGCTAGACTAGATTTTTTGCGGTGATATATGATTAGTCTAGCCGACCATAATTATTGCCATATAAATAAAGTACACGTCGCGTTGCGAAATTAATTAATAAACATTACAAAAATATCATTATTTAAAACGAGACGCTTCGGACAAGAGGCGGAGACAGCGGCGCGCTACACCTCCTCTATGTATGTATGTATGTATACATGTATACTGAAACAATATATTTATGTTAAAATATACGCGCCTTTATTTACTAGCTGTACTGGAGAATTCCAGCGAGTTAGTAACGAAAAAGCTACATTATATCATAAATAGATAACATCAAAAACAATTTGCACGACATGAAACAATTGTTTAATGTATGAAAAAAACTTTCTAATATTAAGTCATCGACTCGTCACGATGTCAGCAAACGATGAACTGGTTATTTATAGTCCATGCTCAATCTGATGCCACAAATCTTTTTATCTACTTATCACTTCATGTGCGTTTCACATTCGCTGTAAGGAATCACAAAATAAGAGGAATTTGTCGGCGCCGCAGAGTGACGCTGCCATCAACACTAGTCAATGTGTGTGGTGGGAAGGTGGGGAGCTTCGTGATCATGATGCCGACGTCTGTGCACTGCGCGGACAGCGCTGCCCCAAAGGGTATACACTTTTTTGGTCGGCACGGAAGACGTTCGAAAATGTAGGAAGGAAATATTTCAAACTACAATCAATATTCAATGTTCTTAAAGGTGTAATAAACAATTATTCAAAACGATATTACAGAGAGCTGGTGCGTCCTCCCTCGCGTGCAAGATCTTTACCTAGCGCTTGTGTACATAACTTCACTCGCATTACGATTGCACCGCACCATAGGTGATATGTTTACAGATTGCAGATACAGATACATGACGACGGGCTGGCTCGCGGGTCCTGACGATATTGTTGTTAACGAACAATACTATAAGTTTAATAAAATGACATTGGCGTAGTGAACATCGCACAGGTACATTACCGACAATTTCTGTAACAGAACTAGCACGCTCGGTGGCGTGCAGCGCGGAGGGCGCGGAGGGCGCGGAGGGCGCGGCAGAGTGCTTGTATGTTAACTTGTATGTTATGTGGAAACTTTAATAAAACCTACATATTTACATTCATAATATAGACAAAGCGTCGCGTATTTACGTCAATAAGGAATGGAACAACTTTTCATATACATTATATACATTATATATTTAATCATATATTTGCAAAAATACAGCGTTACACATATTATCAGGCCTTAACTTAAATTAGCGATAATTCAGTACTTCAATAGCTTTTAACATTTTAAAATACATGGCCGGTTCATTTCAATAATTAATGTTTTGTTTTTTCAAATATTTTTTTTAATAAATTACACACATTACATTTAAGGTCAGTTAATTACAATTGTATATATATATATATATATATATATATATATATATATATATATATATATATATATATATTATGTATACTTAGCAAAACAGATTGTAAGTAGCGTAACAGCCTGCGCTCGCATAGAGGCGGTGTGCGATCTACAAGGTCGCGCCAGACTCCATAGTAGTACTTTACTTCCTAACAATACTCATTGCAATGGACATTAGTTACTCGGTTTCATATTATTAATTTGCTATATAAAGATAAAAAAATAATATCATTTTCAGCGACGCAACGTGACGACGGTCGAGATCGGCGCGCCCAGTGACGCGCTGGTCGACCCAGAGCGGCACGTATAGGCTCAGTGCGGCAAGGGTAGGCCCAGTGCGGCGAGGGTAGGCCCAGTGCGGCGAGGGTAGGCCCAGTGCGGCGAGGGTAGGCCCAGTGCGGCGAGGGTGGGCCCAGTGCGGCACGATGCGGAAATACGTATATATAATATATGTTAACGGAAATGTATGTAATGCTTTATTTTATGCAATTTCTAAAATGGGAAATATGTGAAATAAAGTATTGTACATACACATGTTCATATTATTCACAGAAATTACTATATTGCCTAATAAAATATCAGAATTTTATACAATTCCTAGGAAATGCGTACACGATTCAGGATATGTGTATTATATTAAATAAACTTTATGTTATGTTATGTTATCTTGAGAGTTATAAGTAATTCCTAAGTTTCAAACATTTCCGCTAACATGTACATACATATATGAAGTTTACGTGTAATATTGGCATGTACATATGTATTTAAACTTTTAAAAAACAACAACAGCACTACGCGTGCATCGAACATAGTATTCATTTAAACTTGATTATAAAGCTTTCAGGTTTCTGGTCATACAGATAGGAGGCTGCTATGTAGAGTCACTAGCGTCCGTTGTCGTCAGGCGTCGCGCGCGGGGCACAGGGCGGCGGCTGCGGTGGCGGGGCGAGTCACGCGCGCTGCTCGGCGCCGGCGCAGGTGGCGGGAGGAGGCGTGGGCGCTGCGGAGGGCGCGGGCGCGTCCCGCAAGGAGTTGTGACGACGCAGCAGGTCGCGCGCAGAGTCGCGCTCGCGCGAGCTGCAGTCCAGCCCTCGTCGCGGGGAACAGTTTGCATCCCGGCATTCCGATGACGAACGCTTCGTGTGCGTGCCTAAATACATACATATACTGTTCATATCATATATCTTACTAATATTGTAAATGTGAAAGTTTAGATGAGTGGATAAATGTTAGATGGTATCTCTGGAACGCCTCAAAGGATCTTGATGAAATGTGGCACAGATGTAAAACATAATCTGGAAGAACACATAGGCTACTTATTAAGTATTTTTCCTATCCCGCACGAATGGAGTCACGGGCGATGTGGTATTTAATATTTTAAAATGATAAGTAAAAATATGAAATACTGTTAGTGTTTCAAAGAGACGCGCGATGTAGGAGTCGGGTTTTCTTGTAAAAGAAGCCGGCGAAGAATTTGTCTCTAGACTTCTACTCTCTCATTTTCTTCTTGCCTTTGGGGAGAGTTTACAGAATTACGTAAGACTGTAATTGGCATATCTGCACAGAACCTGGCCAGACATCCGCAACAAATTAAAATGTTACAGATCAATGTCCTCCATTACTGGAAATAGGATAGACAAAAATTATATTTCTTTTTTCCTACCCATCCCTTATCAAATCCATTCTACTTGTCGCCTGATTTCTGATTCTAAGGCTTCACCAGTGCCTAAAGACGTATACGTAAAGCAGTAGGAAGGAGGCCTGCACCGCAAAGGTCAATGATTTACCGCGTGAAGTGACAGGTGAGGAGCTCGGCGTACCTGGCAGGTCGCGGCCGCAGCTCATGATCTCGTGGTCAAGGGAAGCGGATGCCGGCTCCGTGCGCCGCCCGCGCCCGCCGCGCCCCCCGGACCCGCCACACCCGCCCGGCTGCTGCAATCGCACGACTGATTACATACGCATTGCGTCAGCAACTCGAGGCAATCGCTGCGCTCCACGACAAGCAACCGTCGTCCACATCACACAGTATCCAAAGTAGGAGTCCTACTGATCACAGAAAACCTCTACGGTGTGAACAAATATTATTTTAAATTATTCAAACTCAGCCGCCACCGGACGAATATACGTTAGTGTTTTAGCCGTTTTCATATAATTTTAAATATTATTTTATTTGTAAGTATATGCGTTATAATGCCACGGCTAAAGTAATGATGTCAAAAGAAAGAGTCTTCACGCGGATAAAAACGCGGTTTATACATACATATATCTATACGTAACGATAATGCGACTTTTCTAAAACGTACGATGTAATGTGTGCGGTGCAGTGCAAGTTAATACATGAACTGTGAGGAAGATGTGATGTGATGCAGGTGTCTTTCAGTGAGGTGTCGCGGCGTGGGGTAGATGCTTACTTTGTATCCGCTGGAACCGCTGGTGACGGAGGAGCTAGAGCCCAGCGGGTGTGCGCCGTTCTGGAAACAATGACATTTACTCTTACATACACATTCACTTACAAAAGTGAAAAAGCTGACGTACGCCACAATGCTCTCACAATGTGTCATGTGGTCCGGGAAGTATACCTACATTAGAAATATAATATAAATCTCGACCCAAATAACAGCTAAATGGACCTCCGATACGAAGAAACAATTCATTAAATTCTATAAAAGTAAAGTTATATCTTCTATATATTTCTACTACAATATCGTCTCGCTAGGATCCAATGTACGGTGCTATCTATAAGGTGTTGGGGTCCCGTAGCCTTTGTGGTGGTCGTCGTTGTGCGGAAGGAGTTCTCCTAGGGCACTTAGGGCGCATGGCGGTCGGTTAGGCGCACCTGGTCGAGGTGATCGATGGAGGAGCGGCTTGGGCTCTTGTTGGGCTCGAAAGCGGACGAGTCGCTGTCGTGGTCTGACTGCGCCGGCGGGTCGGGGCTGTCGGGGATCTCGCCCGATGCTGCGACATAAACGCACGACTTAATGTTAAGCACTTAAAATTTAATATGTCTGCTTAATTATGAACTGTTCCAAAAGGCGAAGACGAGGTGAGGTCGAGAGCGAGGGGAGGGCGAGGGGAGGGCGAGAGCTCGGTGTGGCGAAGGCTGACCGTGGGCGAGGACGAGGTGCCTGCGGGGCGCGCGCGGAGAGGGCGGGTGCAGCGCGCGCGGCGGCTGGGCGGGCGCGCGGCCTGCGCCGGGCGCGCGGCACACGGCCGCCTGCACCACCTCGCACACGCGCCGGAACCGCCGGATGTTTCCTGCACGACGCAACACAACCACAACCTCCTTAAATGTTCATTGAAATGTGGGTAGATTCTAAATGTTGCCTTTAATACTTCTTCAATGTGTGACGATAACGTAACCTTATAATGAAACTTGTAATGATAACAAAGTTAATTATTTTAAGAAAAAATAATATTTAAGACTGATCAAGTTTAAATAAAGTACATTTTGTTATGTATCTCTTCATACGGCAGCGCTATTAATCATTAGAGTTCACTGTCACTAGAGTTATAATAATGCGCTGTTACTGCTATACGCAATAATGTCGTTTATCTCGACCTCTCCTAACCTGAGAGCAGGGTGAAGGTGATGGCGTACAGGTACTCCTTGCCGTTCTCGCCGGGCGCCTTCGTTATCGTCGATATGTCCACCTGCGCGATGCAATCACTTGTAACGTTTATTTTGAACTTGCAATTATCACCTTGTATAAATTATGTATGTCTGTTTTATTATATAAGAAATTGTAATTGTTGGTACTATGGTACACTTTGGTCACTTTGAACGGCAGCAAGCAGTCTTCGATTAGCAATTATTGTTCTATGTAATCGTAGGTAGTTAGACTAATATTAAAGTAAAACTATTTAGGTTGCGATGTGAATTGAACTAGAAATTGCCTGCATACGATAAGTGCACAAGGCAGACGCACCTGAAACCTGACGTGCCTCTGGAACATGGCGGGCGCGTTGGAGCCGCGCTTGTACTCCACGCGGAAGGACATGGGCCCCAGCACGCTGTGGGACAGCTCCGCTATCTGCGCACACCACACCTCACGTGAGAGTTGCAAGGCCAGACGCGATGCCGCCTCTCATTTTTAGTAATTTTAGTTTTTCAAAGAGTTCCACTGATGAAGCACAAATACTTCATGTATAATCTTGTAGGTACAATCCCATCATAAGCGTACCGTACGCGTCAACTAATTACAGGCAGAACTCGTGTGTGGTGCGTGCGAGCTCCAGCGTCAACACACTGTGCAAGAAGTGTGATATCGACCCGTTTGCAACTAGTGTGTCCTCAGCGAGGAGTTGTCTATGCCGGGATTTTTTCAGATAAATTGAGCGGTGGTTGAATATATATTTATATTTAAAAAAAAAAAAAGTCAAGTATTTATATCTCATGTGCTGACTGACAAATTATTTAAGCTATTGCTATTAGTGTAGACTTGTAAATAGCTATATGTTAACTATCTTGTGTCTATTATTGTTACTTTCTAGCTGTAAGTCTACCATGTAAATAAATAAATAAATAATGAACACACGCTGACAATATAATAGATAAGCAGTTGGCGAGCGGCGGCCACTGCCACCATCACTAAGGGCCAGTACTCACGCTGAGGAAGGCGTGTATGAGGTCCGCCTTGACGGTGGCGAGCGGCTTGCCCTTGACGAGCGCAGTGAAGGTCTCCTCCTTGTCCGCGGCCAGCAGCAGCGAGCCGAACCACGAGCGCTTCGTAAGCTCGGGTGACGACTCCGGCGTCAGATGAACCTCCTCCGACGACGCTGCGACACACGACCATCACGACATAATACAACATTGGACACCACAAACAATAACACTAACAGACACATGACGACGATCGACGATGGTGCTCAGAAGTGACTAAGAACCGAATTCACCGTGATTCCATTTCCCAACACCACGGCTCCATTGTCTTAGGGCTTTGATTCGGAGTCAAGAGATAAAGCCATTATTGATGTACGCGTGAATTGTTTTAAGTGGGTCAAACATTGCGCTCGTGCAAACCCACACCTTCGTACCGTGTTTGTGGGATACTTCCTTTCCTAATCCTCCCCTTTCCACTAAAGTCTATTTCCCCTTCCCATTCAACACAACGGTGGTGACGACGGGTCCAGTACTCAACCTGGCGTCTGTGATGTTCATTTTTATGTAGTCGCCCTTACTCTGCATCTTTCGCCTGTGGAAGCGCGGCGAGCCGAGAAAGGAGTTCTTGATGGTGGCGAGACGTGCGCGCCAGGGCGCCGCCGGGGCCCCGCCCGCCGCGCCACTCGCGACTCCGCCTCCCGCAGACGCTGTAATGCCACAACAGAAATTTCAGGAAAAATTGATGTTTTTGGAAATTGGTAACAATTACTTTGCTCGCGTAATGAAAAACCGTGGCCATAAAGATAAAAGAACTTTTACTGCACTTTGTGAGTTTTGCGCGCCGTCCCGCCTTGACCAACCTTGTGTCGACGAAGAGTTTCGAGAGCTGGTGAGTGAGTGTAAGGACACTAGTGCAGCTACGAGGAGAGCGTTACCTGTCAATGTGGCCAGGTTCGGGAAGAGCGAAGGCTGCGCGGCCGACTGCGCAGAGGAGGGCGGGCCGGGCAGCGACGACCTCTCACGCGCTGAAGTATAAACATCAAGACATTATTAATAAACAAGTGTGATAAAAATATTTTTGTACTAATTATCCATTAGCAATTCATTTTCTAGTTTTAGTTAATGTTTTATATTAATCGTTTTATCGTAAATCGAATTTTACCATCTTGTTCCCTTTGTCGAATTCTAATATTATTTGATACCCATATTAAGATTATAGTAGAAATATCCCATTGACTATTTTGTAGTTGCAGCCATCTTGGTTTTGTTGTCTTGAGGCTCTCTCATATGAGACATCACTTGGCAGCAGTGAAGGAGAAAGCGACGTGCGGACATACCCCTGTGCGTGTGCGCATGCGCGGGGCTGTGCGGGCGGCAGGAGGCGGGCGCGGGGGCGGGCGCGGGCGCGGGGGCGGCGCCGAGCAGCGGCGACTCGTTGATGATGATGACCGCCTCGCCCGGCTCGCCGCCTGCAAACACTCGCCGCTTTACGCAACAGCTTGCCGCACGGGCTCATTACTGACATGCTAGAAGCTCGATTCAAATTCTAATTTTCTAAGTGTCTTTGGAGTGTTTGTCGATATCTGTCCCGGTCTCGGAAGTAAAAATAAAATGAATATCGGAGTACTGACTGATGTTGAGGCTGATGGTGGGGCCGCTGGAGTTGGCGCGTTGGTGGTGGTGCTCCCGCAGCGACGGCGACGCTGCAACACAAAAGCATATATTGGCAGGGCGAGTGAAAGCGGTGGAATCGTCTATCCAAATACGGAGCCCACTGCGCTGTGCCCACTCACCCAGCGGCGATCCGGGGGCACCGGGCGCGGCGGGGCTGCCGCCCAGCGAGGCCGCGCGGTGCGGCGTGTGGCCGGCTGCAATAAATTAACAGATTTATTATTTAGGTTTATTAGAAAGCAACGTCTCATTGTTGTCAAATCTACACGTTTTAATTCTATAATAAAATGGATCGGATTACAAGCCGAGAAGAATACGCGCACGTTTGCTGACACAAATCTCTCGGCGACTGGAGCGACCCCTAGCAACCGTCCTCACATTCGCCAAGTGCCTTACCACTGAAGAAGCACACTTACTTACTACTTAATATACTTAGCAAAAGCATCAATAAGTTTAAATGTATGCGGTGATTGTTAGGTGTAGTGGGTAGCAAGCACTCACCGGGCGGGCTCGCGGCCAGCTGCGGAGAACTGCGCCCCTCGCGTCCCTCCCGCCGCCCCGAACATGACCTGCTGTTCAGATTGAAACGCATTTAAATTATATTTAAATCTGAATATGTTATATATATAACACTTTAAGTGCGGATTCACCGTTGTACGGCTTTCTCGTACAACGGTGGATTTACGGCCCCAATACACTTGTGACTGTGTAACTTTTTAAATTGATTAATGTTGCAAATTCAGTAATGTTGTTTATTAAACCCTGCCACCTAACCAATAACCTTTATCGAGGACTCTATTCGCGGATGAAATGTTAAAGCTTCTACCTGATCTGCGATCTCCTGGGGGTTATCGGCGAACCTTCGCTGATCTGTCCGAACTGGGCGGACTGGCCGTTCACCTGCCGCACATCACACGTCTTAATAATTACATATAACACAAAACATATATAGAAAGATAAGATACTGTTTGTTGTGGAGGTTTAATAAGGGCGGAAAGGCTCGTACCCTGCAGGTGTCGAGGCGCTTGCGCGGGGGGTCGCCGGGCGGCGCGGGCGCCGGCGGGCGCGGCTCGTCGTCGCGCGCCGGACGCCGCCGCTTGCGCTCCAGCAACAAGAAGTATATCACTTTTTCCGTGTTGTGACTGGAATGAGCATATCTCACGTTACACAAACACTCCTAGACAGTGTGTTTTCATTGATTGTAACGGTTCCTTTTTTTTTATATCATAAGGCGGCAAACGAGCGAGTGGCCACCTGAAATCGCTAAAACAGCGAAGTGACCGTTGCCCATAGACATACGCAATTGCATATGCGTTGCCTACCTTTAATCGACGGAGAAGAGGATGCATAGAAAGAAAATATTTTCCCTTTCCATGCATCCTCTCATCCGGAAAGTCCACTTCCACTTCCCATCCTTTCCTTATAAGAAAAAGGGTGGGAAGGGAAAGAGGACTAATTTTGACCTCCGGGACGCACACTCATCAGACGAAACGCGGAATAGCTTCCACTTGACGCCTGTCTTCTGTGTGGTCGTGGTATTTCACCGGGCGAGCCGGGACTATTCGTGCGAAGATGTTAAAGCAGGCTCTACCACTGTTTAAGGAATGTTGTTTCCTCAGGAATCGGTGGGCAATGTAAAATGTTGAGGAGCTGAAGCAAGGGCTCGGATCGATGATGGGGCCGGTGCCGATCTCCCGACGATAATTTTTAGTGCATTATTGAGTTCAGCAGGTGACTACGGACTCTGTAGTGTAAAGATAGTGAATATGCAGTTCGGTAATACTTAAAAGCGGTGAATATGATTCGCGCGACTCGATCGAGTAAGAAGGGAGGCTTCGGTCGGATACTGACTGGGGGCTGAGAAGATCCTGTATGAGCTTATCACGCTGCTTGAAGCAGCCAAGGCTGCAGATGGCCTGCAGCACGTCAGGGTCGAGGGCATCGGCGCCGGGCAGCACGCGCGTCTGCACCACCTCCATCATGGGCAACTCCTGCTCGAGCTCGCCGCGTCCGCCCGCTGTCACCCACGGGTGCCGCGTGATCTGTGCCAGCTGCTCCCCGCCGCACAACGCACACCGCCGCACGCCGCATACCCAACAACAACAGTACAAATGTGTGTACAGATTGAGCATTTGATGAGTGAACGAGCGCAATATCAATTGAAACAGTAATGTCACTTTACGGTGAATGACTAAACTATCATATCGGAAAACTGATTAGGAAAAATATTCGAATGATAAATCCTAGTCTTCCAATATGTCTGCTTGACTCTTTCAGTTAGAGGCGCGTTACCGTGATACGTTTGTCCGGGTTGACCTCGATCATGCCGCGTAGCAGCTGCTGGCAGTCCGGCGGCACGAAGTGCGGCACGTGGAACACGCCACGCTTCACCTGCATCGCGCCCACATCAAATAATCGCATTAAAATAATTGCTTATGGCAAATAAACAATATATGTATATCAAGTAGTTATTTTGTGCAAACACAAGTTTTTAAAAATTTGGTTAATAGTTATATTTTATGACAAGTAATAAAATTAATTCAAAATATAAATAGGGCGCCGGCAGACCTTTTCAAGCAGCTGGCGCAGGTTGTCGTCGTCGAAGGGGAGCGCGCCCACGAGCAGCGCGTACAGGATCACGCCGCACGACCACACGTCCGCGCGCCGCCCGTCGTACTTCTCGCCCTGCCACAACACCACCACCTCGTTAGTGTACACACACGTACACACCACGAGTCTACTTCACATGATGACGTCACTTTACACTTCATCAGAGCCTCTTTAAAAAGTATGAGATCGTTATCCAATTAAAATATACATGTAAATAATAAGAAACAAATAAATATACAAAAATAGGTTTTAAATCCTGTTCCTGGTTAACTGGCCCCGGGAATTCAATTGGTAAACTATCCATATATATACGATAAATTATAATATATAAGTTAGGCAGCCGCGTCCGCGTCGGCCATAGGTAAGCCGCACACGCCATCGCGAGTTTCTCTTATATCTAGCATTGAATGCACTGTTCAAATTGTCGCGCGATGTAATAAAAACTTTTTAATTGGATTGGCTCGCACACTCGAGTGTTTTTTTCTTTGCACTCGGTTCCCTCCTCCGCCTCATTATGCAATCTTCCGAGGGTCTGGGGCCCGCGAGGGCCGAGGGCGGGGAACACGAGCTCGAAAACCTCTCTTTACCCTCTCCTCTACATTAATTTGTACATTTTTGGGTAATAATAATTTATAAAAAAAATCGCATGCCCGCGACTTCGTCAGCATGGGAAAACCTAGCAATACATATAGACTACGTCACCCGGCGATAGTGTAGCTTCCCAATATTGAAAGAATTTTTCATATCCGTTCACTAGTTTTGGAGTCTACTAAATGCAAAGAAACATTCAAATTTTTCATCATTATAATATTATCATAGATGTAGGACTACATCGATAATTTAGAAGTACAGAGTAGCACTAGTCACATTCGAAGCTAAAACAAGGAGGTGCTGAGAGATGCGGGCGGGTACCAAGCTTCAAATCAAGACGTCGAGGATGGTGCGAAGTGACCTTAAGTTAAAAAGTTTTAGAACTACGTCTGTGGGCATACCCCGCGGTAAAAACAACCGTTATCTGACTCTACACTCTAGACGACCGCCTGCTACATAAAGGAAGATCTATTTTAAAAATTAAAGCAAAACGACAGGGCGGGGTGAGCAGAGTGCGCATGCTTACCCTGATGACCTCCGGGCAGGCGTAGTGCGGGCTGCCGCACGAGGTCTCGAGCAGCGACCCTGCGGGCTGCAGCGAGGCCATGCCGAAGTCCGCGATCTTAATATTGTTCCGCTCGTCCAGCAGCAGATTCTCCGGTTTGAGGTCGCGATGGCTGCCGGCGCACACCATGTTACATGTTACTTTTACATCTCAGTTACTTTGTCAATTAAGGGTGGATATAGATAGTCAATTTGGAAAATATTGAGCGAGCGGTGTTTTCACAGGACGAGCCCCAGGTACTGACCAGATAGAATGGCTGTGGCAAAAGTCTAAGGCGGAGATGATCTGGCGGAAGAAGCGGCGCGCCTCCTTGGGCGTGAGGCGGCCCTTCTTCACGAGGTAGTCGAACAGCTCGCCGCCGCTCACATGCTCCAGCACCAGGTACCTGCGGCACAGGCACACGTTAGCCGCCGGTATGGCGTCACATCTTACGTTAACCATTTGAATCGTAAACACTCGTGCACTTTACAAATCCATACACAAACTCAGAAAATAGTAATAGAGACTGACAATCATTGTGCCGCTGCTAGACGTTAAGTGGAAATTGGGCCTCAAGTAGAAACAACAGCTCGTATGGATCCGTATACACTTTAAATTAAATGTTACAAGTGTGGACTCGCCTTTAGATTCCTACACGACAATGAAAGCTCACAGTTGACTAATCTTTTGCATTCTTATGAAACAGTGTCGGTGCGGTCTACGCTTTGCTAAGCGCTAGTAAGAATCCAAAGCGTTGCTACGTCCCGCGTAGAACACCGCTACGAGAATAAACAGAATGTTACTGAGAAGCGCACATCAATCGTCAGTGTCGGCTGCCGTAACCTCAGTACGGCAACATACTCGTACTGTATCAACTTATCTTACATCGTAGTGGACAACATTGTATATCTATACTCGAGTTCCGGCTCGCTTATGCTATTCTGTTGCTGATTACAACTACAACGTCTGTAGAGTGTCACTGGTATGCTGGTGAATAACTCTACATATTAAAGTTAAAAAAAAACAGTTTCATTCGATTATTTTTGTAGAACATAATGTTAGATTATAAACAATATGTTTTTTTTGTTTAATTTAGAGCATAAGAATAGATTGTTAGCGGTAGCACACGATGTTGGCAGGTGGCGCACGATAGAAGCACTGCTAGGCATCATACTAACGCGATCTAACGGACAAAGTAAATGTCCCTAACATAAAGTGCCACTTTATATTGGATAGTCGTTTTATCGCAAGTGGCAATTTTCACAGACAGACTTTGAAAGCGAGCAATGTAAAGTGCATTTGGAGGCGCCGAAGTGCATAACTGCGTCGCAATCAATCTTCGTTTAACATCGCGCCGCTATTGCCCCTATTCTACTACTTATTTACTCAAATAAAATAATCACATCTATTTACAATATGACGTTTCGTTTCATACAACATTATAACGTCGGTTACAGATTTAAATAGTGTTAGAAACAACACAATTCACGATAATCACACACAGAAATACACAATGATCCGGCTAACTGTGGGAACCGTGGGCATCATCATCAGCTCAGTATACTTCCCCACTGAGGGGCTCGGAGCCCACCCTAAATCAAGGGTGACTAGGCCTTAGTCAACCACGCTGGCCCAGTGCGGGTTGGTTGACTTCACACATATCTTTGAATTTCTTCTCAGATATGTGCAGGTTGCATCACGATGTTTTCCTTCACCGTAAGAACGTCGGAATAAATGTACATATGTAAATCGAAAAACACATTGGTACATAGCAGGATTTGAACCCAGGACCTGCAGCTTGTAAGTCAAGTGCGTAACCCACTGAGCCACCGACGCTCTTGTGGGCATCTCTACTGCTTATTCTTGTTAAAACTGCGTGCAAACATTCTTAAACTTTTTGTCTAATAATGAACCCAAACGTCAATATATACATACGAGTATGTATTGTCTGAATGCGCCGCACTAACTGGCATCGAATGTTGTATTATAAGTGGTGAGATGCAGGCGTGTTGATGTTGTCATTTGTGTTGTTTTGTGTGAATGTATGGGATGAGATGATGAGGCACTCACAGATACTTCTTGTTCTCGTAGACGTCGGAGAGGCCGAGCACGTGCGGATGCTCAATCAGTTTCATGATCGCTATCTCCCGCTCCACCTGCACATCATACAAATATATACACACACACACACACCTCGACATATCTCATAACCAGACTGTTAGATACACATGTTGACTTGGTTGGGCACGAGGTCCGCAAGTTTCGGCTAATCGTCTATCTACTGATCTATATATCTAGATATATTTAGCGCGTGTCAGTGTGGAGCACGTCAGCGGCGGTGCCGGATGCAGCTGCGTCATAGAACAGAGTAAGCTGCGTCATAGGAACAGAGGTACCTTCATGAGCACGGATTCGCTAAGTTTCTCGCGGTTGATGATCTTGATGGCGACCTTCTTCCCGGTGACGCAGTGCACGCCCAGCTTCACCAGACCTGGAAAAAAACTTTTTGTGAGAGCTGCACAGTACGAGCCAACCTCAAAATCCGTATGCCTTATAAATGCCTGTATTTTGCATCCTACAACAAGAGATGATAGTGATCATGCACAAATGCCTAAAATTTCCTGTTTAATAAGTCCCCTCCTTCTGACAATCATATGTACAGCGATATCTGTTTAAGATCAATAAAGCATCAGTGTTAAAGTAAACTAACGTAAGTGAATTAACGTGAGCGCGGGATGTTGTGTGTACTCGTACATACATACATACATACGAGTACATCTATTGAAATATATGTTGTATTGATCGTTGACTTGTGTTGTGGCGCGTGTTATGACTTAACGTGTAAGCTTACGCTTGTCGTATGTCTATCAATGAGACTTCTTACAAATTCATTTAACATTATGAGGCATCCTAATTTCACCAAAATAGTGGAGCGACTAGTGCCCTTAGACAAAGCGATCTCCAGTCCAGTTAAATTATTCAAACTTTCGTGAGACATTATAATAAACTTATATATAAACGGCTCAACACTCACGTATATTCACGCTCTCTGAGCTTACGAGCTGACGGGCCGCGTCCGCGAAATAATACCAGTCCCACTCACCCTGATGAAGGGCCCCCGAGGGGCTTGAAACTAGTCGGTGCCGCCACCGGACGTATATACCTGAGTGTTTAGCCGTTCTTTTATAAACAGTTCTGTCTTATTTATTTTGTTCATGTCATTAGGTGGCAATGTGCGTCGCCTGCAATGTTATGTATGTTCATAAAATGCACAAAGTAACTGATTTCCTTTGCAGTGTTTCAATGAACCTTTGATTAACTTTTGGTTAACACATTCTAAGGATGCCAAATAGAGTGTATTTTGGGTTTAATTAATTAAACTTATTGTTTACGCATTATTTAAATAATTTGGAATTTTGGAGACAATGGCAATACAACGAGCCGCGGTTCAGCAGGTCACCTACTATTTACATAATTACCTGTTTTTATATTAAATTGTCCCTAACCTTCTGACGTAAGTATAAACCGACAAACTAATCTGGCCCGGTGACTATAAGTGACACGAAATTACCATAGCTCATTAGCGCCGCGCCGCGCCGCGCCGCGCTGCACTCACATAAGTGTCGTACTGTATGTCATATTTTCCCTTAGTAGGTACTCATGTTTTCTAATAGCCAACTAATATAACCAACTGCGATGTCAGCGTGTCTCATATTGGGCATTCTTGTTTGACAATACTCGTGTGTATCATGTCAACATAACCGTACAAGTTTATAAAAGGTTAATAATTTAATTTATTTCGTTTTTGTCATTATTGACATATTAGAAACTCACCAGTTTGTCCCTTGCCCAGAGTTTTCTCCAATCTGAAGGGTCCGACGTATTGGTAGGCCTCCGCGGCCGCGGCGGCGCTCCCGCCTTCCATTCTCAAAGCGCGTGCCGCGGCGCCCGCCGTCTCGCCGTGCCAACCATAGCGCTTCGCCACTGCGCGCCCTCGCTCCGCCCTCGATGCGCCCTCGCCGCACTCAGCCCGCACTCAGTCCTCTCGCTTCATAGTGCCGCCACGCGTGCGGTCCCTGCAGAGTCTTGCTGCACAACCACCATTCTCCGTTTTTCACTAATTTTCAGATTAGCACAATAATTGTTTGGTACACAATAGTTTCTAGTCGTCGTACTAACATCTCATTTACTAAAATAATGTTGACTATTTAGAACACTGTTTATAATCGAGGGTTTTTACTGCCCATATACCTTCCTGTACAGAAGCATATGTTCTATGCGTTTTTTTTAGGAATATACGTTTATGTACAGATGTTTCGACGGTGAAAACACACGATAATTAAATATGCAGACAACTAAGAACATGAAAAACTTCTACATCGATGTTCTTTAGCAGTAAAAATAACCAACGCTTAACCCCATAGCGGCTGCGTACACATTACCAAACATTTAGCACAGTATGATCCAATTACGTTAGATTTTATGCTCTAAGTACAATACATACATACATACATACATATAGATAACCTGGTTTAGTAAACAAGCCTCATCATTAAAGTAATCACTTATAATGTGTGTGTTGGGATCTCGTACAACAACATGAATGACCACGAAACGACACGACACGAGAGGAAGTGACTGGAAGTTCTGAAATATTATAGAAGTGACGAAGTGAAGACTTAAAAAGATATTTACATGAAAATACAGCTCTTTTTAAATTGCCGCAGCTAATTCATGAAACATTATAAAAAAAACATTTTTTATTGAAATGTCAACAACATGATGACACAAACATTCTTTGAAGAGAAAATGGCAGTGAAAAGTTATGAAGTATATGATTAGATAGTTACGTACGCTGGGCCGCGGCGAGCACTTCACCTCGCAGCCCGCGCCCCTGGCCACTGGCCACTGGCCGCTGACCGCTGACCGGCCTGACCACATCCCCTTCACCTATATGCATTACACCTTAGTGCAATGTTATTGGAATGCCGCTATCTGCTTGATGATACGTTCAAATGAAAAACTAATATTCTTGGTTCTGTCTCACACAGTTTGTCGCCTTACAGTATTACACGCGTGCCAGCAATTTAATCCGCACACCAAAAAGGAATTCGTTTTCCTTTTTTTTAACGTATAAATAATAAATAATAGAAATGTAAGGACGACGGATTATTTTATATTCTTTGGGAGTAATAGTTAGCAATACTTCGTCACTTATTTACGACAATTTTATACTCAACAGTAAATAATAAAAAATGGACAAAGCGGGAAGTAGAACAACTTCATTGAAGAAAATAAATCCATTTATATAGATTGCAAATGGCAGAAATGTCGCGCTGTCAAGTCACCTTTGCTAGTCAATAAAATAATTGTACCGATATTTTTAATATTACAATGTTATAAACTTGTAGTAAGAAATATATATATATAATAATAACTGAACTTATTTGAAATCTTTTATAACTTATCGAGATAAAGTCTTAAAGATGCATCTCAAACTGTCTTTTAACAGGTAAATATGATTAATGCGGAGCACAACGCGGCACTGCATGCATCCGCTATAAGAGTACGGGCATAGACCCAACAAGATTATACTCTGTTTGTAACTTTGGAACTGTAATTATATGATACACATTATGCTTAACAGTTCGTCTCAACACAAATATTATTGAAAACGCCCACGTTTTAACGCAACGCTTTTAAGCTTCCGTGCGTAGCTCGTTCGTATCTCTTGCGCAGTGAACGTAAACACTAATCTATCGTTAACTAAGTCATCTCTGCCGCAGCCGACACAACTGCCTCGACCTCGACACCTCTCATATGCATTTGTCTATATTTTTCTATGCGCTGCTCTAATTAATTTATCTTTGATATTACAACGAGAGAAGTCATCGAACTAATAATTATAAACTTACATAATCCAAAAATAAGGCTAATTAACTTTTTTTGCGGACTTATATATTGAAAAAGAAGACAATTGCAGTCGTTTTATTCTTAAAGTCTACTCCAATGATCAGATTTTAATGACTAGACGATTTCTTGAATTATGTACATTGTAGTTAAATATATTTATTTGTACATAACTGGTTACCTTAATGAATATTCCCTAATTATAATATACCTAAATGAATGATGATTGTGTGTTACTGTGACATTTCTCAGCACATTCCTCTAAGAAACCCTTAAATAATATCATCACTGTAATCTATAGATTACACGCAACACATCGGTGTATGTGTCTCTCCATTGATCATCGCTGTTGGTGAACAGTGGTTCAGCCTAAATCCCTTTCTAAGAATGATCTTTGCCTGTGCAATTAAATAATTGTGCCAAAATGTGACAGCCAAGATCAACAACTGCCTTCTGAAAGGGGAAACAGACGGAAAAGTTTGCATGGCAAAATGCACTGTTGCGAACATGCAGAAAGCATACCCATGTCAATGATGCCCATCAAGCACCAGGAACCAGACACTAGGTACCGGGCACCAGACTCTACAGATCTTTAAATTTAAAATATAGACACTTGCTCGACGAATTCTGTACAATTCATGTGTTTATAAGAAGTTAAATAACATGATTTTTTATTACGTAAAATTGACAAAGATTAAATCAAATTAATTGTGTAAATAAATCTAAAAAGACCTTAAATATGAAACACGTACAGCACTCGCATGCAGCTTGTTATAGCCAGGATCGCAGGATTACTTAACAAGTTTTATCTTCTTTGTTTTTCTTTGCTTCCATGCACCAGATTTTCTTATAATTTTAATCGAATCACTTTACATCACCGAACTTAATGAATATTACTTTATTTACAGAAGTATTTCAGAGTCTCCAGAGATGTTCCCTCTGATATAAATGTATTTACACTCAAGGAATGCGCACATATCGGCCAGTACATATGTATTCGTGTATATATATAATAATATTAAAGCAGTACACAAGTTGGGAACACGCCGTATTCCGCATTCACCGTTACTGTCGCACGTCACTGGAAAATCAATATATCTCAACTTAACATCGCGGTTTCTTTGACAACAAATTTAACTAGTGCGGAGAGAGTGAGTGCGGGAGAGGGTGCGGCCGGCCGGACATCTTCCTGCACTTATTGAGGACACAAATAATGTGTGAAATATAAAAGGTTATATAATATTATATTTGAATTTGTAATGTTTTGTGTGCGGCACGCGCGCCTACACACGGCCCCGGCGCGCCTTCTCACTTCCCGGCGAGTGCGGGGCGGAGCCGGGGGTTGGGGCACACCGAATGACTCATACCGAGGGGTGGATTTACGTTTCGTTACACGGTTGTTCTTTACTAAAACTTTTTAAATAGATATAGAAATTTATACTGCTTAGTAAAAACACAACAACAGTTTAAGAAATTAGACGCAAAGAAATTAAATTGTTTTAATTTCCCTACAATTAGTAGTTGTTAATATGTACATTAGTGACTTTGAATCTGTCGGCAGTTGAGAGGACGATGAGATGACGTCACAGTACAGTCCAGTAGTGACATTGTGCGCTGTGCCCTGCGAGACATGATCAATGTCTGAATGTACCATAATGTGTTAAAAATATTATAATGATCACAGGAAAATCAGTTTCGTATGATGATTATTCATTATTTCCATATCAATCAACATTTAGATATTTACATATACATATATATATGTCTCTCTAAATATAGCAGGCAGCGACCAAAATGATAAATATCAATTTAAAAGTAAGATTAAAATAATTCTGTATTCATTATTCTATAATGTATTCTCTACATCATTACAATAATGAACATAATTAATAATGAGAACATTGTATTCTTTTGTTCTTATGGTAATTTCTGCTTTAATTATTGTCTTTTAGTAATTAATGTGACTTCTGACCGGCCTCCAGGGGCGCTCAACCTAGCGAATGGCAGTATTAAAAATACGCTAGAAATATCATTCATTAATGATGATAGTAATTACGTGACTAAATCTCTGTATAAAATATATCGTCGTCCCTGTTATTATCTGTGACAAAACAGATATAAAAATATGTTTTAAACGGGTATTTTGTCCTCGTAAACCCACGGTTACTCGTATGTAACGCTAAACCAGTGATCGGGTTGTCATGTGACGGGACTGTGTTGCGCGGCGGATGTCACTCGTGACGCGAAATTTTTTACCAAGGAGTTTATTATAATAATAAACATTTTGCTGCATACAAACATTTAAAATTTTAATTAAACTTTTTACTTGTTAACATGATTTCATCGTTTACCTTTTTTTACGTAGTTGGCATCGCAACACATGCCTTTGCCTGTGTAAAAATAAAATTGTATGAGTTATACATAACACAATACAACATAACACTCACGTTTACAACCTCTGCCTTCAATTATTGTAAAAGAATAAATGATGAAAACAAGTTTAAATAGTACGAAAGGTTTGCGTTATATTCACTGTCTTTCACTCAGAGCAGCTTTAAGCTAAAGTCGAAGGATTTAATAAAATCCACGGTTGGGTAAGTATATGTGTATTTAAATACATGTAGGTGCGTGTTATTGTGACTACTGTAGCCTAAAAGGCTTAACCCATTTTGACTAGTCAATAGTGAGGCGAGTCACTTTTTTCTCGGAGTGTCTGTCATAGTACATAGGAGTACAATCAATCGGCTTAATTGACTCACTGAACATATATCGGTCGTAGTAACCGTGAGTTTCCACTGTCTTACCACCTTACCTTTACAACAACATATTTTATTCTCATTTAACCTGTGTGTTTTTGAAAGATAATATCGAGCGTGTACATACAATGTCGGATGTGTACCCGAGATCCGGCAGAGGACACCCTCTATTAGTCGCCACTGAGCTACCCCAAACTATGTTCTATGTAAACAATTTCCCGACAGGTAAATAAGTAAGAGATGGCAACGAGGGCAAGGCTGATTAACTACTTGAGCGAGGAGCGTTATGCCGTGCTGTCAGCGCGCTTCGCAGCCTTTCACGAGACCATGAACGACCCCGCGCAGCCCGTGGTGCGCGTCTACGACACCCTCGCACCGCGCCACATGCGTGAGCTGCAGCTCGTCAGGGAGGTGAGCGCGGAGCTGCAGCAGAAAAAACTGGATGATACGGAGAAAGCGGTGAGCATCTCTTCTACTCCTCACTACCTACTAAGCGGTATCACTTCCAGGGATAGTGAGAAACAAGTATTATTTTAAAGTAAAAAAGGAGAATGTTTGACAAGATGTTACAACCTGCAGTGATCTGCAATGAGCCGACGCTCACATGTGTTCATATGTGTGAAGCTGATGAGTGAATCGGCTTGCAGCTAAGCTAATTTATACCTGCATAAAGTTATGATTTGCGTTTTGAGTTGCGAGCTGCTAGTCACCAGGCAGCTCGCGGCTCGTCGACTCACGTAGTTATAGTAAATAGCGATGAGCTATGAACGGCCAATTTAGTTTTTGGACCGATTCCGAGCTAATGTCCACATGTCTAAGTGGCACAGCTCGCACTCACTTCAATGTCTCTTTATACATGTATTTTTGTGTAATAAAACATGTTTCTGCTTCGTTACAGAAAGCTGCGAATGTCAAGTAAATGCCAGCCTATAGAAAGCTGAAGTGCTCGGATAATAGAAACAATTACAATCAACACAATAATTTTGTGTATAAACAATAAGTACATGTGTACAAACTGGTTCATAATATTTATTTTTCATTACATTAATATATGTATGTATACATGAGCATTGTTATTTTATAGGCAAAATGTTTAAATAATGATTTAAGATATTTAAGTAGATTCTTGGGGGAACTTGTACTACGATATAAGAGTTTAGTTGTGTTTTTATAATTCTTATTGTTCCCCAAAAATCATTGAATAATTTCGATTTAAATGTTAAAATAGTTCTCACTTAGTTGTGTCTGTTTATTTAAAAAATTGATCAGTAAAAATTGAATAGTGGACTCTGTTCCTAATTAATATTTAAATTAATCTATACATATTTTTATTATGTATTTAAATTGTTTTTGTAAAAGAACTTAATGTCTTAAATATAAATTAAATGTATTATTAAAAATGGTCGAACAATTACTTTCTAATAAATGGTTCTTATATAATTCTTGTGTTTGTGAAATCTTTTCTCCATCATGTTACTGCTGCTGCTATTCTTCAGGTCTTGTTTTTCGGCGTTTGACGAGTACGTACAAGTGCTGAATGCGACCCTGGCGCAGGAATATACTATTAGTTTCAGTTATTGTATATATGTATGTATGTAGCAACAGTTGGACTTTCATATAAATCATTATTGTCAAACCTTTCAGTTGTCTTTGAAAACATGAATTAACAAAATGCTCTGGTGCCAATTTGTTTGGTTGCGGACCGTGCACCCTTGCCACTAAGAACAGTAAGCAGTAAGGCCGGAATTACTGGTTATTTCCATGCTAATCAAATAAATGTGGGAACTTCTACTTTCAATTTCTTATTGTAGATGTGTTGTACTATAATAAATTTACACTAGCAATTACGTGTGAGATGAGATCCAACTAAATACTTATTTTAGATAACAATAACAAATAAAAAGTGAATGAAAATTGTTATAATTTTTTATTGTCATAATTGTATTTTATATAAAAATATACTGAAGCCACAAAATATTCACAAAAAAATAAGACTCAAACAAACTAAAAATAGTTTGTCAATCTCTAGAAGTAATGAGTGCATTGAACACTTACAATCCTAAATTAAAAAAAAATAAAATACTAATATTTGATAGCATAAAAAAGTATAATTATCTTGTGATAATACATTATGGTATACTTAAAACTAAGAATTGTCCGTCATGACATCCTCATCTTCATCCTCGGGTTCCGCAAGGTCGGGGTGGCACACCCGGATATGGAGATTCAGGTTGATCTTAACAATGAAGCTCTTCCCGCAGGTGGTGCACTTGTGGGGTCTCTTCACATCATCATCCGCAGTGGGCGGGTGAGCTCGCGTCAGGTGCGTGCGCAGCAGGGATGAGTGCATGCTCCTGTCACAGTGGCTGCACTTGACTAGGCAGTCCAGCGGCTGGCCCTCATGGCTCTGTCTGTGCTTCTCCATTGTTATTTTGGAAACAAACAACTTTTGACAGAAGTCACACTTAAAATTTTTCACTTTAGTGTGCTTCTTCATATGTATCTTTAGACAGTTTTTAGTGGGCAACATTTCATCACACTTGGAACATTTAAACTTCTTAATGTCATTGTGCAGCTGCATGTGCAGCTTGAGGTACGCCTGACCGGTGAAACTCTTGTTGCAGATCTCGCAATTAATAGTGCTGGTGGAGGAATGGGTCTGCATGTGGCTCTTGAGGAACTGCGCCGCCACGAAGCTGCGGTCGCAAACTTCGCAGATGTACTTCTTGGATGCGATGCCCTCGTGCTTGCTGCGGTGTATGTCCAGGTGGTACTGTGAGTTCACTTTCACATCGCACAGGTCGCACTTAAACTTCCGTCTCTTCTTGGGGCCCTCCTTTACAGGAGGCGTCTCCGGCTCCATTGTCGGGGTGTCTTTGTCGTTGCCGTGAAACTTTTTATGCAGTATCAAGTAGTCCATGCCGTCGAACGTTAGGTCACATACATCACACCTGTACCGTGTGTCGCTTTGTTGTTGTTGTTGTTTCATTTCGTAAGTCACATTGTTATCACTGCCGTTGTACTGTTCTGCCATTTTTTCCCGCTTAACACATCTATTGTCGTTTTGCATCTGTTTGTCGTTGCCGCCCGGCTCCATAACACTCTTCATCCAATGATCCTGTATGCCGACGCCGGACTTGCTCTCCATTTGCAGAAGTGACGCTATGGACACATTACAAGGTGAGAGCTATATTGATCCCTAAATTGAATATAGTCCAGCATACAATATCTCATAATCGCTGTATCGTTGCAATAGAAACGTTATTAGGGCATTGTTGACATGATTGAACCGAAATTTTTCAACTTTTCCGAAGTGAAACACAAAAGCGAGCCTTGTTACAGTAACATAAATTCCAAAAGAGAAGCGAAGCGCGTTGGTTTTTTTTCATATCATTAAATGACAGCTATTACTTTTCAATGTTGACATCAGTTTAATTGCCACTGCTAAATTTATTATTGTAAACAACATAGTAACTAATATGAAATTGCGAATAGAAAATGCATTTGAAAAATTGGGGCCAGCAAACTGATAATTTTGAGTAGTGTAGTGTTACGTATTGAAGTCTCAATGTTGTGAATCATAGTAATTAGACCTTGACAGTGGCAGCCTCATTTTTATTCTATAATCTATTATTTTGACACCTATCAAAAATGGCGTCAAATATTCAATATTTATTTTTATTTACTATGAATTTTTAAACAAATGTGAAGAAATGGCTATTAATTTTTATATTAATAATCTTTAAGTATAATGGCGTCGACTACCGGAGTTAGAAATTCCGAAAATAATGATGTTTCTTCAGATGATGAAGTTTTATCAGTGATCAAAAGTAAAGTCAAGAAGAAAACCAATAAAAGGAAAAGACCTCCAAGAAAAACTTATATTAATGATGATGACGATGAAGATGACGATGATGAAATTATGCCGCATGTGTTCGTCGATGTGAGGGTCGAAGAAGTAGATGACGGTCCTTTAGATTTTAGTGGGGTATGTTAATTATGCTCATCATGGTTTGTTGGTAAAATATTTTTTTTAAGTAAAATGCAAATTGTATTCAGTTAATCTGCACTTATGTATTTATAGAAAACTGTTGATAAAAAAGCAACAGCTCAACAATTATAGCCATATCAAACTTTCGTGCTACACTGCTCTTTTATCTCATACATATACATTTTCCTGCTTCAATGATAACATCTGTAGTTAAGACTATTTCAATGTTATCTTATGTAATAAGGTATTACATATTTTACAGTATCGTAAAGAAAATATCTCCACATCTCAAACAAAAGCACAAAAGAAATGTAGGAAACGCAACATAGTCAATCCAAAAAAGAAGAGAAGATTGTATGAATGTCCACAGTGTGATGCTGTGTTTGAACAAAATGCAGATCTCAAGGATCATTCCAAAGAACACCAGGTTGTTACCAGGTGAGTGGCTGCACAAGACTGCTACAAGTTGATTTGCTACATTTCCTGTCTAAATATGCTCTCACAAATACAGCCGCATAAGTATTTCTAATACAATACTTTGGAAAATGTAGTGTACTGTAGAAAGAAATAAAATCTTTTTTGTTTACTTTCTGCAAGGCTACAAGTATTCCATGAATAAGAAATAATTTAAGTACTAAAATGAATTAGCAAACATGTATGCACGCAATTTATGGATATTGTGGTCATCAATAGTTACAGTTATATTTCTACAGACACAAATGTGAGCCGTGTGGACGGTACTTTAACAAGGCATTCAGCTTGCGACTGCACAGCCGCGTGCACATGGAGAAGGTGGAGATATGTCCCATCTGCGGTGCTGCTTACACTCTCAGGATCAATATGGTATGTTCCATTAGCATTCATCTCACAATTTATGGATACACACTCAAGCAACTCTTGCACTTTTGTCTAAAAGTACCTGTATGTAATGTTTATCTGACTTTGATGTAAATCATCTTCAATAGCTGTTTTCATTTAAGCTGAGACATTTAAACACTCACGAAGCAACACTACCATGTTCTTTGTGCCCAATGAAGCTACATACAAAGGAGCTGTTGGAAGAACATTTGATTGCCCATGAAACAAACAATACAGAAGTGTTACTACAGAATGCCAAGTGAGTTACCATGAATAATAATTTTAATTGATAATAATACAATAAAAATGATTTTAAATCTCTTTACAATTTACAGACTTGAAAGTAAAGCAAAATTAAAAGCGAAAAGTAAGCTAGCTCAGGCCACAACACCAAACAATATATCTATGCAAAACTCCATAAAACTAGAAGTAGAATCAGAGGACAATGAAACGAGCGACGTTTTCAACACTTCCAACAAGTATGAGGTGTATTTGAAGAGAGAGGAGCTGAGCCATGCAACGCAGTGCGCCGTCGTCAGCAAGATGCACAAGGGCCGGCCCGTGCCCGATATCTGCAGGCTCTACAGCCTCACGCCCGAAGTCGTCAACGAGATCTGGGAGGACCGCGACAAGTACACGCTGCCCAAGAAAGCTGGCAAGAAATACATGAACAGCATCTTGGATTCCAGAATAGTCGAGTGGTTCCACAGCCAGAGGGCGAAAGACGTCCAAGTCTCCGGCAAAATGCTGCAGGACATCGCGGAGTCCTTCGCCAAGGAGAGCGGCTTCGTCGCCTTCAACGGCAGCAAGAAGTGGCTGGATCGCTTCAAGGCCAAGTACAAAATATCGCTGAGGGGCACCCCGCCCAAGAGAGACTACACGAATATTGCATTCGGATGCAAGTGGAAAAACCTGTTCTTCAAGGAGACCTGGTGCGACGTCCGCCTCGGTTTCGCCGACGACGATATTTACACCGCAGACGAGATCGGCTTCTACTACAATCCTTCCAAAGGGCGGATAAAGAAGATGTCCGGAAAGAAATTCATCCAGGGGTACGTGAAGGACCGCCTGGCGATATTCGTGTGCGCCAACGCGAGCGGCAGCGATAAGCGGCGGCTGGTGGTCTGCGGCACCGAGGACCCCCTGGTGCACTCCCACCGCCACCCCGACACCCTGCCAGTCACCTACATACGCCACGCGCAGGCGCACTTCACCACGCAGATGTTCGAAGAGTACGTCAAGTACTGGAACAGGGAGCTGCAGGCCGCCGGCAGGAAGGCCATCCTCGTCCTGGACAGGGCCACCGTACATTCCAAGTTGGTGCTCTCCAACCTGAAGATGGTTTTCGTCCCGTGGAAGGCCTCCTCGGGCCTCATCCCCGTGAGGAACGGCATCTTCGGCAGGTTCCGCGACGAGTTCCGCCGCCTCATCCTAATCGAGAAGAGCATGAATGCGGTGCGCGGCGTGGACCGCAACCTGACCTGCCTGGAGGCGCTCAACCTGGTGCAGAAGGCCTGGGAGCGGCTGCCCCCCCACGTCGTCAACGACGGCTTCGTGTCCACCGGGTACGACGTGCAGCGTGCGCCCGAGCCCCGGCCGCAGCCTCCGCAGCCGGGCCGCGCGCCCGCTGACGAGCACGCGCTGTGCCGGCTGCTGCGCGACTACGACGTGCAGCCCTACTACGCGGACCTCGCGCACCTCGACATGTACCTCACCGTGGACGAGGAGCTGCTCACTGGCCAAGGCACCAACGGCTCCGTCTTCGGCGGCAACCATAAGGCCGTCGACCCCGCGGCGCGGGAGCGCGAGCGCGAGGAGCTGCTGCCCATCGGCACGGAGCGCCCGCCCTGCCCCGCCGCGGAGCGCCTGCTGGCCCGCGCCCGAGCCCGCGCCGACCTCCACATCGTCAGGACCTTCCTGCAAACCTCCGACACCCCCTTCGCCGCCTACCGCCACTTTCTCGCCATTGAAACATTCCTTCTGAGAAATCCTTTCGACGAGGAGTCCTAGCGGAGCGCGGCCCGGCTCCGCACCAGCCTCGGATACGTGCAGATGATAAATGTCTGGTGGCATTCTTAATTTAGGGGTATACAAATATTTTCAATTAGTCCCAAATGAATTTGTTTGTCATTTTTACATTTTGTAATATAGATGTAACAAAAATATCGTTATGAGATTTATAAATGTTTTATAATGCACGTCAGGATTCAAAATGATTAAACAATGTGGTAGCGGAGGCAGGGAGCGGCTGTCAGTGCAGTGTCTGATAAACAACGGACTGTGTGCAGTGTTCATTGTGTTGTGGTTCACCTTGTGTGACAGTGTGCGCGACACGCGGTGTTGCTCGATTTGTTTGTTGATAGCTAAAAATCAACATTTTATTTTTATGTAACTTTTTCGATCATTCGATTATACAACGATTGTTTAAAATTATATTTGTGAAGCAATATCGTGATGTAGTGCTTTGGTGCCGTGACATTTTGTTGGAAACATAACAATGTGACTGCAGTATTTTATAAGCAAAAATGAAGCAATATCAAGAAGGTTAGGAGCATCGTCCACAGCTGTTATATGTGTTCTATTGAACATACAAATATTTACATGTATTATATGTTTATCTATATTGTAAATTAACGACACATTTTTTGTTTGTTGACGTAATGACGCCTGTTAAGTTTGTGTTAATATTTTTAATGAAAGTAATTTTACACATAAAATAATTTTTTAAATTTCCTTAGATAATATGCCTCATACTAAAATGAGCACTTTAATTTGTTGTCAAATTATTAAAACTCTCGTAGATCAATAATATAAAGTAATCAACTAGGGCTCACACTTCACATAAGTCAGTCTGCAGTCGGCGCAGACTTGTGCCTCCTGTTGTGCATAACAAGTGAGTCAAACTTTTTTAATTACTTTATAATTTTGATGTGTAAAATATATTAGTAGTGATTTAATTAATAAAATAATTTAATAGTTTGTTGTGATAGTTCAAATTTTCTTAGTAATATAAAATAAAAGAGATAATGTTATAAGAGAAAGCTTCACCTAGTCGCTGTACAAGGCAGAGGCAACGTCGCGGCTTTGCGACATGCGCGGGGAATGTCTTTTGGTTATCTTTAGGTTTAATAAGAGTAAATTTACATTTCAAATAAACCATTTAGAAATAAAATGTTTATATTTCAAATCGTCGTGTTCAGTAACCAAATATTTATTAAAGGTTTTTGAATGAGCAATTTACACTTACACTTACAGAAGTTCCATCATCAAAAATCATATAATTCAATATATTATATGCATTCAATAGAGGTAGAGTATTGTCATGCAAAGGAAATCTTGGATAAAAATAAAATAACACTATAACAATATAATATTTATTTACATGGGAGACGGCTGCTACTATACACCTCTTTATATTATAATAAATTACAGCTATCATCAAAGGCAAAATTTGTTTTCACAAAACTAGACTTTGGTCTAGCTGCATACATTATGTGTGAAATATAAAAGAGATTTAAAATAAATCTAGCTTTTTTTAATTTATTTTAATTCAGCACAAGGAAATACACATTTTATAATCTGCAATTTCTTATTGTATGCAAAAAACCTATTGTTGCAATGACAATAAAGCTAGTGACAGTGGTCAAGCTAAGAGTTTCAACTTATGCAAAAATGAAGTGAAACACCAGCACTTCCTCTCACACAAACAACTTGTGCCACTCTATGCTCCTCACCAAACATCTAATGCTTCTCCAATGAAGGAGGTATATTTTTGCCGAGGACATTCTCTTGATATTTCAGCTTTTTCACATTTGTTGGGTCTTTTAAACTGTCCTCTTCTGTCATCCTTTCAAATCTTTGATCTTGAACAGGTTCTGAAATGTAAAACAAACTTACTATTTTAATCATTTTCAATGAACAACTCTTAAAGAAGAAATCTGTTACACAAATACATGCAACACCCACACATTCTTCTAAACATTCACATTTATAATATTGGTGTGTTAAACTGTATGATGCTCACTGTTGTATGGTGTATATCTGTCAGACAAAAGGCTTTCTAGGTTGTACCCAATGATTCCCACAACAGCAGCAATGGGCAGGGTTATGTATGGAGCGTTGGTCCTTAGGAACTGCATCAATATTGGCCACATCTGTAATTCACATTATAGTTAATTCAAGCAATCACAACCTTACAAATTATTATCTAGCTCTACAGGAATCAGACTTTCATGTTTTATTTACTTTTTTTAAGAATATACATGTAATTAACAAGGCGGGCATTTTTTATTAGTCTTGTTAAAAATTACATAATTTCTTATCAATCTTAAAAACTTAAGAAACATAGTAACATTAACATGATAAAAATGCCAATATTTTTTTATTGGATACGTTGTGAAGATTTTTAGAAACAGCAGATATTTTTATTTCTTTCACTAACACTTACTTTTTATTTTTTAAATCATGTAAACAAAATGCCACACCGGTGAGGTTATACCATTTGCAATTTGCAAACCTTTTCCCTAGTTTTAACTTTGTCTATCGCAGTACCTTAAGATCTGGAATATTTTATTATATTGAGGTTTCTAACATTGACGAAATATATAGTGATAGAAAATTTTCAAAATACTTTTTATAATATTTTTGTCTCCTACCTGTCACTGTCATTGCCGAAACAACCAAACTTTAACCAAACCGTCATTCCTATTTTACTACGTTATGGTTATTTGTCAGCCGCATCGAGGCAGCAAAAATGTTCGCGACATCGCAATAATGTGGCCGTACCGTAGCATCATATAGGCAAATTAACAATTAAAAAAATCATAACATTAATGTCAGTAATAGTTGTCTGCCGAACGTACACATATTAAACGTGTGTCCAAACCAGAAAAAAACAATACATGTCAAATTCAATATGACATAAATTGCAAAACAAAAAGAAAGAAAAAAAGGAAATCAATGAAAATGTGTGAAAACGTTTAGAAAATAGATATCTAATTGATTAAGTTAAGTGGAATAAAATACAAGGAAGTATTATACTAATTAAAAATTGCCAAAAACTCAATTTAATTAAGTTCTAAATATAACTATTAAATTAAAATGTCTCAATCTGCAATATTTAAATATAGTGTCAAAAATTTTTTTACTAACAAATTAATAGGTCCTTCGAATTATTTACGAAATGCATATGTCTTAAGATATCAAAGTTCAAAAAGTACAAAAACTAAAACAGCTAGTTCAGTGTATGGGACAATGAAGATTTTTGATAGAAATGCGAAAATCTTACAAAGAGAACGCGCGGCGCAAAAAGAAGATTATCATTTGGCTGAATACATAAAAGAAGAAATCGGTTGGAGGACTGCTGATAGAGTGTTTGACATTAAAAGGACTTTTAAAAATGCAGTCGAGTTAGGTAAGTCTTGCCAGTACTTTGCAAACATTGTAAGGTCGGCCGAGTTAACCTTTGCAGATGGACTGAGTATGTATCTGTTTGAAATATCCTTTAGTTTAAATATCGCTTACAAATATATGTACGATTGTTCAGGGGCAGGCAGAGGCTATGTTTCCCGCCATTTCCTACCAGACAGTGTGGAGAAGGTCACACTATGTGACACATCACAGACTCATCTGGACAAAGCTATCATTGGTGATGGAGTTAAATACGTAAAGGTCGTTATGGATGAAGAGAATTTCGAAGTAAGTAGGTATGTTTACTCTGGAATTTATATACTTCATCATATGAAAACAAAGTAGAAATCGTAAAATAATAAACTTCATGACGATGGAGAGCTAACTATTGTCTGCGTATTTAGTTGTATATTTGTGGGTTGACTGTGTCTGACCGTATTTCATTATAAATATGTTGTAATAAAGAATCGCATACAGTTCCCAGAGGACAGCGTGGACCTGTTGGTGTCATCGTTAGCTCTGCACTGGGTGAACGACCTGCCGGGCTGCTTCGACCGCGTCATGCGCTGCCTCAAGCCCGACGGGGTCAGTACACATTACTCTGCACATCATTTCTATATTTACCTATCCCGGGACAGATCTTATCTTTGTTTGAAAATATTTTTACTTGACTTTCATGTATCACGTAGATTTGTTTGGAATATATTATAAGTAGTTGAATGTCGTGTGTGTGCGTGCAGGTGTTCCTGGCGAGCGTGTTCGGGGGGGGCACGCTGGTGGAGCTGCGGCAGGCGCTGCAGCTGGCGGAGGCGGAGCGCCGCGGCGGCGTGGCGGCGCACGTCTCGCCCTTCACGCACGTGCAGGACATCGGGGGCCTGCTCACCGCGTCAGTACCTTCACTTTGTGATACTGTGTCCTGTATACATCTGTCTATGTGAGGGGAGGAGAGGAGAGGAGAGGAGAGTGAGGCGGGTGGTGCGTGCGCAGGGCGGGGTTCACGCTGCAGACGGTGGACGTGGACGCGCTGAAGGTGTGGTTCCCGAGCGCGTGGCACGTGATGCGCGACGTGCGCGCGCTGGGCGAGGGCAACGCGGCGCTGAGCCGGCCCCCGCACCTGTCGCGAGACCTGCAGTTCGCCGCCGCCGCGCTCTACGACCACATGTACGGCAAGGTACCGGCTAGGTCGTCTCTCATGTACCGCGTCGTCTCATGTTCCCTTCGCTTCCCTCCCTAACTCTGTTCTGTTCTCTCTCCGGCAGGACTTCCCGGAGCGGGACAGTCGCGGCGTGCCGGCCACCTTCCAGATCATTAACTGGGTGGGGTGGAAGCCGCACCCCTCGCAGCCCGCGCCGCGCCCCCGGGGCTCCGGCGAGGTCTCCCTCAAGGACCTGCACCGACTGGAGGAGGTCGCCGGACACATAAATAAATAAATTTTGTCTTTACAACTTTATTTTTACATAACGAACTTCCATACATGTGCAATACATCTGAATGTATCTCGGCGACGGGGCGTGACCTGGTGCGCGACCCGGTGCGCGAACTGGTGCGCGACCCGGTGCGCGACCTGGTGCGCGACCTGGTGGGCGACCTGGTGCGCGACCTGGTGCGCGACCCGGTGCGCGACCTGGTGCGCGACCTGGTGGGCGACCTGGTGCGCGACCTGGTGCGCGACATGTAGTAGTGTCTTAAGTCTCGTAGGGTGCGGGAGATCAGATAAAAAGTGAAAACATCCATTTATATAACAATATTTTAATATAAAGTTAAATGTGACATCGCAGGAAATACTTTGAATTACAAATACTACCCATAATAATGTATTACAAACTATTTACAATAATTTGGTAACATCGGTGTTACTAAATAATTTTACTAGATATTTATTCTAAATATAAACACATTAACACGTTATAATAAAGCATAAAACTTATGTTGTGCAAAACACAACTAAGTATGTTCTACTCGATGCGAAATATACATTGTACAGAAATAATATACTGCGCCATATCTGAACTCACTAGTTCATTGATTCACTTCGCAGATCTCGCCTATGAGCATTTTTATTATCAGTCAGACATCAGTAACAGATTGAGTTTTCGTTGTCAAATAATATATTTATTAGCCGTCAACAAGTATCGATTACACTCTCTATTGACAGAACCATCGCAAATTGAAAAGATTTATACAGCGCCCACCTCTGTCCTCGTCCTATGTGCGGCGAACAAACGAATCAACCTACTATACTATTTGAATAGCAATATTAGAGGAGGTACTGCCGCCGATAGCGAAGGTACTTAAAGTGAAACATTGTGTGGGTCCGTGTGCGGCGCGGCGCGGTGCGGCGCCAGTGTCCGGTTCTGTTAAAAGTAAACTTAATTATCTGTGGTCGTCGCATTTATTTACAAATTCCCGCCATCTGGCGGCCGCCGGCGGCAAACATTCATCCAGCCGAATGTTCGCGTCGTCTGTATCACCAAATGAGAGCCAACACGCACCAGAACGCGTACAGAGCCAACACGAAGAAAATAATTCGGACTATCTGATGCAGATAGTATAACCTGCAACAAAACAATGCACCGGTGAGTAATGCCACGGACTCGGTCGCTCCGATGTCAACTGGGACTAGAATTATCGGTTTCCGTACCTTTTC